CCCTTGAAGAGTGAACAGGGTTTGTGAGAAGGGTTTAGGGTTTAGTGTTGCTGGCTAATAACTAGGGTTTGTTACGTTTGGCTAGCATTGATGTTAGTATAATAGGGCCTATTAGGGTTTTGGCTGCGGCGGCTGCAAGTATGTGGAGGGTTGTTTAAGTTTTAGGGTTTGAAAATTTTTTGTTTATTAGGGTTCTCTAGGGTTTACGAGGGTTTATCAGGGTGTATTAGGGTTTAGGGTTTGGCGTGTATGGCTCTCTAGAAGATGAATTTAGGGTTTAGGGTTTGTGAAGATCTATTAGGGTTTATGCTTGCCGCCTATTAGCATGCGGAATGTTGCGTGCTGCAGCTCGTAGCAATCGAACACCGGCACAGCGCTCGTCAGCCCGTGGCCCATCTCCACCACCAACCCTCGACTCTGTCCTAAAGAGGCACCCAGAACATACAACTTCTGCTGCTGCTGCTGCTGCTGCTGCTGTCGTTGCTGCTGCTGCTTCTGTTGCTGCTCCTAGTACTACCGGCACTGTGGATGCTCAACTACGGATTACACAGCAGCAGTTGCAGCAGGATGTATACCAACAAGAAGAAGTTTGCAGCAACGGCGCAGGCAGCAGCAGCAGCGCATGCAGCAGCAGCAGGAGCAGATGCAGCAGCAGGAGCAGGAGGAGTGTAGCTATACCGGATGCGAAGAGTCCTAGGGGGGCCCTTGGCAACAGAGCTACGGCTTCTGCAGCAAAATTTTCAAAGAGAATTTGCAAAAGTTTTTGTTTGCCTTCGAGGTCTTCAAGTGGTGGGGTTGTAACCAGAAACTGAAGGCCACAATTTTTGTCTGTTTCTCCTCTGTCTCTGTCTCTGTCCCCTTCTCTTGTTCTCTCGGAGACAGAAGAAACAGAAGAAGACAACAAATTCTCTAGCGCACCCCAGTCTCTTACCACTCCCCTCTCTATAACACCCTCTGCAGCAACCACCCACATCCCCGCAACCCCACCAGCTAACACACCGACCCGTAGAACTCTAACCACCTGGCTAGCCAGCTAGCTAGCCAGCTAGCTAGCCAGATAGATGATAGCCAGCTAGCTAGCTAAACATAAACCCTTACCACCCACAAAAACCCAGCTAGCTAACCAACACCCTCTCGCTCTACCGTTTGCTAGCTAGCTGGGGGCATTGCTTTATCTCTTTCAACTATGAGCAAGTAGTATATTAGTGCATTTGTTCTTTCTTCTACATGTTTTTATTTATTTGTTTATTTGTTTTTTTTTGTTTGTTTTTTTATACCTTCATGCAAAGGCACACACAACGCCGGCACGGAGGCCCCCCCGATGCCGACGCGGGCGCTGTGGCTGCCCAAGTCGAAGACAAACCACTCTGCAGCTTTCATTGCTAGCAGCGAAATATTTTTTTTTTTTCTCTGCTTCTTTGCTTCTCTCCTCTTTCTCTCTCTTTCTTTCTCTCTATTCTTCTTCTGTCTCTCCTTCCTCCTGTACTTTGTCTTGTCTCCTACTCACCTTCTGTGTCTGTTCTGCTTTCGTCTCTGTCTCTCTCTTTATCTATGTTTCTCTATCTCTATCACTATATATCTCTCTCTCTGTCTGCGTGACGCTAACTTTCTCTCTGTCTCTCTCTCTCTCTTTGTATATATATATCTCTGTCTCTGTCTCTCTGTATCTGTCTCTGTTTCTCTCTCTCTGTATATATATATCTCTGTCTCTCTCTCTCTCTGTATATATCTATGTCTCTGTCTCTGTCTATATATATATATATATATGTCTCTGTCTCTCTCTCTCTCTCTCTCTCTCTCTCTCTCTCTATATATATATATATATATATATATATATATATATATATATATATATATATATATATATCTGTCTCTATCTGTATATAGCGCGTTCTCCTTCTCCCTCTGCTTCTATAGATCTATCGCTGCCTCTGTTGTTTTTGTTTGTCTTCGCCTCTGCTGCAGCAAAGGCAAATACCTACACCAGCAGGCACCTGCTGCTGCTGCTGCTGCTGCTGCTGCTGCTGCTGTTGCTGCTGCTGCTGCTGCTGCTGTTGCTGCTGCTGTTGGGTTCGGCTCGTGTTTACGGAGAGCGACCCTCAACAGCTACAAACCCCAAACCCTAAACCCCAAACCCTAAACCCTAAACCCTAAACCCTCAGGGTTTGCTCAGCTTGTAGTGCACTTGGTGGTCCTGGCGGGTCACCGCCTAGGGTTTAGGGTTTAGGGTTTAGGGTTTAGGGTTTATGTAAGTTGAGTGTTTTCAGATGAAAACTCAAAACACATTATATTCAAGAAAATATTTATTTATTTAGGGTTTAGCGTGTAGTGTTTAGGATCAAGGGTTTAGGGTTTAGGGTTTAGGGTTTAGGGTTTAGGGCTGCAGCGGCGAAGCCTCAGCAGCAGCAGTTGCAGCCTTCTGTATTTATTGGGGTGTATGCATGCATCTGTTTGTTTTTTTGTATAAATTTATTTTTTATTTCAACAAGTTTAATTGCTGCTGTTCTTTTTGCTGCTGCAGCACCCCCTGTTGCTCCTGCTGCAGCAGCAGCAACCGCAGCAGCAGCAGCAGCAGCAGCAGCAGCAGCAGCGGGAACTCCCGTTGTTGCTGCTGCACCAGGAGCAGCAAAGGCAGCAGGACAGACAGCAGGCAGACCCTCCAACAACTGCAGCAACTGCAGCAGCAGCCGCATCACCAACAGCAGCAGCAGCAGCTGCTGCTGCTGTTGCTGCTGCAACTCAGGCAACAGCTGCTGCAGTCTAAGCTGCAGCAATAGCAGCAGCAGCAGCAGCAGCAGCAGCAGCTGTGACGTTGATAGCAGCAGCAACATCAACAGCAGCAACAGCAGGGGTAGCCGCAAGATCAGCAACACCAACAGCAACAGCAGCAGCCTTAGCAGCAGCAGCAACAGCAGCAGCAGCAGCAGCAGCAGCAGCAGCAGCAGCAGCAGCACAATTCATAGATGTGAAGTCCCTCTCTACAATATCTTTCTA